GCCTGCAGCTCACCTCACTCACGGGGGGCAGCTGTCCTTGGAGCAACAGGACTGACAGTAGGAAGGGCTTACCTGTGATTCTTCCAAGTGTACCATCAAACATCTGTCCTACAAAGCCAGAGATGTGTGCTCCCAGACTCACTCCTATCATGTGCAAGGAGTCAAGTGATGCTCCATCGACCTGAGATTCAAAAGTACTTGTGGTCACAGATTCGGGCACACAAAAGGCATAAAAGATATCAGGAGGAGGAATGTAAAAGCGCCTCCCTACTTTTTTCCCTTGATGTGTTCCACTCTGTGTAAATATTCCCCCTTTGATAGTCCCACAGTACAGCCAGCACTCATGTTTGAGGACCATATCTGAGAGAGCTGTGATAAGAACAGTTCAGGCAATGGTTGTATTTTCCTGGGACAATGACTACAGGCGTGGACAGGAACGAGTATTCATGGGCCCCATGAGTACAGCTCTAGTTGGCCACGTGTGTTTCCTGCAAGGAGTTAGCAGCCACAGCGATCCTAATGATCCAGTGTCATCACTGACTGTGCCCGTGCAACAGCTTAGAAGAGCTGCCAACTGTAGCTGATCCCTGTGAGCTGACTTTTGGGCATCCAGAAAGTGGAAATAGAGTTTCTATGTGTGGAAAAGCATCTGTAGAGATTTGCATCCAGAAACATAGAGACTTAGAGTGTAAACTGAATATTGCAACAACCAAGTCCAGGGGTAAAATTTGGCACTGCAGTACAGCTGTGCTTCCAAAAATGAATGTATTCTTTTCTAGGACTTTCTTTTCCCAGACATCCTGCTGCTTTTAAACATGTCCTTTGTGCCCTCTGCATACTGTGTGTTAATGACTATATCATAGTGTGAACATTAAGCTTACCAACATTTCATCAATAAGTTTCTTCAGAATCTCAGCAACTTTTTTGCAGTTTCTGGAAGCATTACTGTAGATGAAAGTTGTTGCCCCACGGTTCCAGTCCACAAGGATGACGTTCATGTCTTCTACAGAAAGCAGAAGATGTACCAAGTCAGGGATCCAGACTGGGGTAGAGCCTGTGAGTCGGTATCCATGGATGATGAATGTAGTTTTCTTGGTCACATCTAGATACTTGGAGGCTGTTGAATTGAGCTCTTCAGCACAGCTTGGGTTCTGTCTGGTGTAGAGCAGCAGCTTCACTTTCAGGTCTGTCCCTATCAAAGCATTGCCAACGGTGAGAGCAGTGAATGCAGGGCATGTCTCCCTGAGATCTGAAAAGAGCACAGCGTGGCAATCCTGAGGTTAGTACCGATGCATTTGCTTTGACCTTTTCTACCTGCCAGCCCTGCATGGGCACAGGAACATATGTTGTGAGCTGTCTGAGCCAGGGCTGCTCCTTTCCTCTCCGTCATGTTCATGACTGGAGTTACCCTGAAACTTAGTTTTTCTTGCTGTGTTGGAACAAAGGCAGCAAGTGCACCTTCTCAGAGCAGCATTCCCTGAAACAGCACAGCCCTGCTTCCACTAGTAGCTGGGGAATCACAAAATCTCCAAAAATCTCACTAGTGTAAGGTACTAGAGACCAACAGCTAGGATGGTTGCTGTATTGGTTTGAGAGCACACTCAGATGCTCTGGATAGCCTCCAGGGTAATGAGATATCCTTGTGGTTTGTTTGTAGCTCCAGTCTGGAGCTGACAAGCTGCAGAGGATCTTGCTGTTGTGAGGGGCAGCTCAATGCTGCATTTGTATTTGCAGATGTAGCCTGCTATTTCAGACTGCAAAATGGGACACCCTTTGACTGCATGAGATATGTTACTGATATTGCTTTATACACAGCTGAAGAGTAACTGAATTTTATGTAAGTGCTGCTTTATGGGACCAGTCTCTGCCATTTGAAAGCCTGTCTTTGTTCCTTGCTTTTCCAGCAGAACACCAGCTGAGCCTTCGGAGTCCAATGCAATCTCCAACAGGGCACTGGCAGGGAATGGAAAAACTGCCTCCAGACAGACACTGCTTATGAAGGCCCTCCCAGGTTTTGTAGCCTCTTCCTGGCTCACAAATCTTTTCACCAATCCCCTTAATCTTATTGAAGAACCTTGTGGGAGAGAGTGTCTCTTTCACACATACACCCTGGGCTGCAGTAATTGTTCAGGCTGCAGTTGCTAGAGAAATCTTCCTGATCTTTGTTGCTTAAAGGCCTGTGCAAGGTAGAAGGGTTTAGAAAACCTGCATCTGTAAGCTCTAGCTCTAGCAAATCTCCAATACTCTGTACATTTTAATTTCTAAATGATGAAACTCTGAGATTTTACGAGCAACTTTCCCTTTTCTCCTCCTGTGGAAATCAGCAGCATGAGAGTGATATAAATGCTATGTGCCCAGCACATAAAATAATCTGCTCAGTTCCCATAGTTCTGCTAATTACTTTGTAGAAGCCCCAAGAGCTCCAGAAATAAAAGTTAATAGGCTAAAAGGATGTTGCAGTTAAGTCCAACTGGTTATTTTAAATTGCTACCATAAATTCAGAAATAAATTTTAACATTTGAAATCCATGGAGTCCTTCCTGTATAAAGCCTATGGTAAAATATGAATAATGGAACAGGAGCCATGGAAAAATGAGCCCTCAGCCAGGCCCAGTGAACACTGGTTGAAATCAGTGGCCTTTGAATTGAGGGTGTTCTGCCTCTGTAATGCTTCAGTCAGGGCTCCCAGGGGCAGCGTGACTCTGGGCCCTGCTTGCAAGAGTAGAGGTGACCCGGGTGGCTCTCTCCTGACCAGCTTGCTCTCCCCTCCTTCTTACAGTGCCAGGCTGCTCCAGAGACACAGCAAGAGTTGTCCTACGGCACTGCTCATGTGGAGATCTCAAACTAACTGGCAGAGAAAAGTTATCATTTTTTGCTGATATACACCAACATACACAGTGATACTCAACGACTGTCCTCTAGGTGCTACTGCCACATAAAAAAATACAATTATATTTATTTTTTACTAGTAACTATAAATTGGTTTAGTTATTGTTTAGCATTATTGTATAGCATTGTTAATTGTCCTTACTGCCACTGAAGCTGTAGTAATACAGGCAGAAATGCCAGGCAAGAATTACTTCTATATGGTGCAAGACTGCACTGATTGCTTAATTTGTTTCTATATCTCCTGCACTGTGCTCAGACTTGCCCAGAGGAGCACCAGAACAGCCCAAACCTTCTGGTAAAGAAGAGCTTTTAAAGACCTGATTGGCATTTGCTAATACCTAACACAGGGACTGTTTAAAAAGCCTTGTTATATCTGCACCGAGTCTGTTAGATTTGTTCTATTTTGATTAACAAAATCAGATCAGTGCTAATAGTGGGGGAAAACCTGCCAGCTTCTCTTCTGGCAGGCTGGTGCATATCCCAGACTCATCCACCATGTGTTACAAAAGCTGACACATGAGGACAGCCAGTTATCCTGGCTTTGCTCTTCGTTCTGGTAAGCACAGTGAATCCTACCCAAATGGTTGGAATTGTCTTGGAAACTCCAACATGATTTCTCTGATGGAGCAAGAGGCTTATTGAGATTAACTCTGCAAGCAGATAAGTGAGGTAGAAACTTAGACCCTGGCACTGTACTTAACCCATCTCCAACAGACCGCTTCCCTTCAGGAAAGGTAAATAAATGTGGCAATTAACTGAGTGTCCCATTAACTCGTTTCCAGCCCTGCATTGGCCATTAGCTTGCTGAATTAATTTTTCTCCCTCTGCTCAGTTTTCTAATATGTAAAATAGGATGACAAACACTAGTTTCCAGGGCAAGGTGCTCTGACATCTCAGCACCTGTAGCAGGGGGCATACCAACCTGTTAAACCTATGTTCCTACGTGGGAGCTGGACATCTTTTGTCTCAAGCTTGAAATCAGCCTCTGAGGCACTATTGCAGTGAAAGGGGCATCTTCAGAATAACTTGGTTCTCAAATTACATAGATATATGTGTATATATATATATATATATATATATATATAATCAGTTCAACAAAGAATTCTATAGATTATTATGCTCATGTGAAAATTTCTCATTTTCCAACTGACTAATTAAGTTGCCCACAAGCATAAGCATTCCACAGCCTTGCGTAGTAACACCATATGTGCACTTCATGCTGTTTATCTTGATGTGCCATAGTTAAACATCTTCCATTTCATCTCCCATTTGTATATCCTTTTCCATAAAGTACCATAGGTATCCAGTGGCTACCTTTTTAGTTTTTGATGAAATATACACAACCTGTTCATTAGCTCAGGGTTAAATGCTTAGCTGTCCTAAGCTCATCATTACTGCTGTTCTGTAGGTCTAGTGCCACTTGGCTCCTCACTGAGAGAAAAGAAGCCTTGAAT